TATGCGTCTTTTTTGGATCAGACGGCTCGGAGAATGCCGAGGCCCCGCCAAGAATAAAGGAGGTTTTGGAAGATATCGAAAGTCGCCTGTTAAGATGTGAAGTCGAAAACCATGTTGGGGTTTGTGCGGGGTCTTACGGTAGCCTCGATGACAGTTCTAGTATAGAGTTTAAAATGATGTTGTAGGACTTAGGACGGCTCACTGTGCCAAAGCCTTGCTCAGGATTAAATCTGAACCATGTGGACGAATTGTTCGGAGCTATTGAGAGAATCGTAGCTGTCGAATCCCTGTTAGCGAAAGATTATTGTCATTTTATCTCATTGCAACACTAATTTCACTTAAGGGAGTTTGTGGCACGCCAGCTTGACCTTGTTCGGCCTGTGATGGAATCCTTACTTCCTTCTACGAATGAAGACATGCTTGCTGAGTTGGATAACTTCTATGCGAAGGTAAACTGGATTTTCACAGTATTTTATAGCAACTTTTTTGCTTCAGTTGTCTCTGCTCATAGTAGGATTTTTATGCAATCCTTGTGAAAGCTTTTTGCTGTTGAGTTTATGATAGCTTGCTACATTGGACCAATTTTCAGATAGTGTCAGTTGTCCCAGAAACTCGACGTTTGGTGTTTGATTGTATTGCGAGTCGTGCTCTCAAACTTCCTGTACTTATCGCAGCGGTTTCAAATACAAAGTGGGACATAAATGAACTGCAAACTCAACATAGCAACTACGTGGATTTCCTTATAAAGGTGCGTCACACACTATTCTAAAATGATTTATATAACTGCAACTGGTCTATTTTCTCATCTGATGATAGCTGGTACTTTACAGGACTTCGAAGCATTTTCACTCCGTTTGGATCATATAGCTGAGTGTTTCAATCTCAGTGACTCTATTCGCATCCTTTTGTGGGACAGAACAATTTATTACACATTCAGAGCCTTGGTTCAAGGGTACATAAAGTCTATATCCCACAATTGATATTGAGAAAATATTCATTCAATTTAGGTATTGTGAAGGAGGAAAGTGTTCAACAGAAGGCCGCGCGTTGATGCAACTCGATTTTCAGCACTTATTGCTTAAGGTGTTCCTTCCCAACATTTAAAATAACTAGACTTTC